ATCATCATCATCACCATCACCATCATCACCACTTTCCTTATAATTTCCAGGCACTCCTTCGACACTCGTGGGAAGCCGAACAGCAGCGCCTTCTGGAGGATATAGGCAACAGCAGATCGGTGGTGGGCGACGGGCTTGCCATAGGGTACTACGTCGGGTACTTGAAGAATCTGTTTTCGGAATGCGATGGTTTAGGTCAGTAGGGGCTGTGTTCGTGAGGTTGTGAGGTTGTTGAGGTCGTGGTGTGTGTGTGTGTGGTAGTGGTTTGGGTGGTTGGTGGTGTGGTGGTTGGAATTGTGAGGATGTTTTAGTTGTGAGGGATAAGAGGTTCCGTGATGAAAGGCGTAATTTTCTTTCTTTTTCTCCCTTTATTTCTCTCTTTCCTCTCTTTCTCTCTCTCTCTCTATCTCTCTATCTAACTATCTCTCTCTCTCTCTCTCTCTCTCTCTCTCTCTCTCTCTCTCTCTCTCTCTCTCTCTCTCTCTCTCTCTCTCTGTCTCTCTCTCTCTATCTCTCTATCTATCTCTCCCCCCCCCACTCTTCCCCCTTCTCTCTCCTCCCTCTTCCGCCATCTCCCCTCCTCATATTATTCCTTCTCTCCCTCCCTCCATTCTACTCACCACCTCTTCTGCACAGACTTCGTAAAGCGCCTGAGGTCCTTTGAGCAACAGCACAAGATGAGGCTGGCTTCGCACAAGATCTACATCCTCTCCTTCACCTCATGTACTAACAACCACTCGGCCTTCGATGTGATGGACAAAGTGGGAGAGGTGGGTACTCGTCGCCGTCGCCAAGTATACTCTTATGGTGGCGTAGGTCGTCCTATAACAGAGCGAAACCCTTCATTGTTTTCTGCCTTTTCTTTTGGCTAGCTCGAAAACAACAACACAACTATTTGATAGTTCTGTCCCGATTTACAGAGGTGTAAGTTGGGACAAAGAGTTATTTTTTCCTTTCCTGAGATATATGCTTTTGATATTTTCTTCCCCTTACTATCGCGTTTCGTGTTCCCAAAGTACGACAGTTTCCACTTCTTCACGCAGTGCAGTAACCATTCATTTAAGATATTCAGTTCATTACTGTTGTCTTCATTTTATTACGACGTTGAATCCAGGGAATTCAAACGCATGCGGTGGTACCAAGTGTTTTAAAAGTTTTTATTCTATTATCATCATTATCTCTGCCACAACTTTTTCTTTTCGTTGAGGGCTTTGATACCTATTGCCAGGCGACTTCTAATACCTTTGCTGGTATCGCCATTTTTTCTCTATTCTGTATCCAAGACGCAAGAAATGGCCAACTTCCTCAAGAATTGTTCCACTTCAGCCAAACTTTCCAGGCCAGCTCTAGACTTATAAAACATGGTTTCGTCTTCCGCAAATCTAAGATCACGTATCAAACTATCCCTGACTTCCAAGAGACAGAAATTTCAGTTTAGTCACCCTCTTTGACATCTTTCATGATGTTTTCTGTGTAAATATCGAAAAGGTCAGGAGACAGTATATACCCTTATCGAACTCCCTTTTTGATGGTAAACCTGTTAGTTCCACATTCAAGCCTTACTGCTGACTGTTGGTTTATATAGAAACATTTAATAAGCCTTACCACACGTATTGGGAAACCCATTCTCTGCATAACCAGCCATAGTTGGTTGAGCCTAGCATTATCAAAGGCCTTCGGGTACTCGATAAAGCTGATATGTAAATCTTGTTGTTTTTCTCGAAACGAACGTTAATTAAAAATATGGTTTTGTTTACCAAGGTGCTTCCTGTAACCTGTTTGGGCAGCATTGATATCCTCTATTATTTTTTTCTTCCACTCCCCCTAAGATTATATTTACGATTAATTTTCTTCTGTAATCATTAAATGCAGTTCTATAATTTTCACACAGTTGGAAGTCTCCTCTTTTAGGAGTGGAAGAAACACTTATTTGCGCCTGCCTATTGGCCATTCATAAGTCTGCCCGATCTTTACATACAATTTATGCGTAAGTGTCATTGCAGTGTACCCACTGGAATGTAATCACATTCGGGAGATTTCCCATATTTTAGTGTTTTCTTTGCCTTCTCAACTTCGGATCACAAAGAGACCAAGTCACTGTCTTCAGTGGATTCTCTCATTTACTTAAATAGATCTGCTTGAACTTGTTCTTGATCAATGAAGATATTACTGCAGTACGTTTTCCAGCGGCCAAGAATATCTTCCGAATGAATGAAAGTTCTGTCATCATTATTTTTATCATATTCAGTTTAATCCTGAACCTCTTTGTAACACTGATTCCATTGAAAATTTCTTTACTGTGACCATCTGTGTGATATTGCTCTTTATCATTGTGACAGATTTGTTCAGTGTCTCTCGTTGCAGCGCGATGCTATATACTGGTGGCGCTGATACCTTGGGATTTCATATTTCTACTAGTCTTTATCAAATATAATGTTGCGCAAGATGTACATTGGATTTCTGACGCTTACTTTTTAGAAAATACTGTTTTGCGCGTGATAGTCCGTCAGAGATGGTCGCCAACTGTTCAAATCGATTTTTCATTTCAGCTGACTAACTTTCAGAGGCTTTCGTCATATCAAACTGTCCAACGGATGGTACCTTTTTTCTCACTTAACTTTTATTGGAAGTCCATGATCTGACCCACCATGCACCTCAGGAAAAGTTCGAGCATTTCTTACACAGGATCTACCATTCTGTACTGAAATTACTCATATCGAGTTACACCAATAGGAGATGTTCATGTATACAGTATATAGTATACAGTATACAGTATACAGTATACAACTTAAATAGTGTTACGGATGATCAGTTTATTTGCAATAGTAAATGTGACTACCTGTATTTGAGTAAAGCCTCAGCATCTATTTATTTATCACAATCACCTTTTCATTCATCTCTAATTATCTGTTTACTTCTCCGTATTGCCAATGGACTTACTTGTCTTTATTATTCATTATTACTATTTCGTTTTTCATTTCACCATTTACCTACTTATCACTATTACGAATTTATTCATTACCATCTGTTTACTTACTAATTATTGCTAATTCATTCATTCATTATTATCTGTTTATTCATCTTCATTATTATCTGTTTATTCATCTTCATTATTATCTGTTTATTCATCTTCATTATTAATATATTAACACGTTCTTCCTACAAACGTATTTACCAATTCATTCATGAATATCCATTTTCTTATCATTATTGCTAATTAATTTACTTATCACAATTGCCAATTCATTCATTAATATCTGTTTACTCAATTTATTGCTAATATATTAACACGTCTTTCTTACCAAATTATTTACGTTTTTTTTCCTTTTTTATCATCATGTTCCCTTTTCCAACAGTCCCTGAAGATGCAGTACACCCGCGGCGGCGTAACACGGACTATCAACAACACAGTATATCGCGGTCGTGTTCCCGGGTTTTATCCTGGCGTTTATTTAGAAGAGGAATTCTACGTTATTTGCGAGACCCTTTCTCCTATTAGTACCATTAGCAGTATGGATTGTGTGGGTAAGTTTTTTTTTGTTTTTTTTTTTTGGTGTATTTTGAGTGTGTGTGTGTGTGTGTGTGTGTGTGTGTGTGTGTGTGTGTGTGTGTGTGTGTGTGTGTGTGTGTGTGTGTGTGTGTGTGTGTGTGTGTGTGTGTGTGTGTGTTTGTTTGATGACAAAGGTGTCTGTGTGGCCTTTGGTTTGGTATTTGTGAATTGATTCATATATACATATACAGTTATTAGATATACATTTATTTATTATTTTATGTATTTTTGAAGTGTATTATTTATTTACTTGCGATGTCTTTCTCTATCCTTCTCTCTCACTCTGTCTTTGTCTATCTATCTATCTGTCTCTGACTGACTGACTGATTCTCTCTCTCTCTCTCTCTCTCTCTCTCTCTCTCTCTCTCTCTCTCTCTCTCTCTCTCTCTCTCTCTCTCTCTCTCTCTCTCTCTCTCTCTCTCTCTCTCTCTCTCTCTTTCTCCTCCTACCCTCTCTCTCTCTCTCTCTCTCTCTCTCTCTCTCTCTCTCTCTCTCTCTCTCTCTCTCTCTCTCTCTCTCTCTCTCTCTCTCTCTCTCTCTCTCTTCTCTCCTCCCTTTCTATTTCTCTCTCTCCTTAAATCCTCACATCCTTCTCCTTTTCTCTATCTCTCTATTTCCTTCTTCTCTCCTACTTCCCTTTTCTCTCCCCCTTTCTCCTCTCTCCATACCTCTCTCTATCATCCCTCCCTCTCCCTCATCTCTCCTCCCTTTCTCTTTTCTCTCTCTCTCCCTCTCCCGCTCCTCTACTCTACTCCCTTTCTCTCTCTCTCCCTCTCCCTCTCTTCTCCATTTCTTTTATCTCTTTTTCTCCCTCTCCCAGGATTCACCAAGGACGACAAGCTCCGTACCCTTCGGCGCCTGACAATGAAACTAAACGAATTCCTTCAGGAGGATCCGAGCGTAAGGGACTACGTAAGGCTCATGGAAATCGATGGTATGGGATAATAAGTGGTCGATGTTCTTTTGTTTTGTTTGACAGATAGCTTGGCATGGGATAACAAGTGGCCGATTTTCACTTGTTTTGTTTGACAGATAGTTTGGCATGGGATAACAAGTGGCCGATTTTCTTTTGTTTTGTTTGACAGATAGCTTGGTGTGGGATAACTAGTGGTCGATTTTCAATTGTTTTGTATGGTAAGGGCCGACTAACTGCCGATTTTCCTTTTGTTTTGTTTGATAGTTGGTGTGAGAAAAAGTGGCCAATTTTCTTGTTTTGTTCAATAGATACCTTTTGTGGAATAACAAATGGGTGATTTTATTTTGTTATATAGGGCAGATGTCTTGGCATAGGAGGACTAACTGCCGATTTTCTTATATTATTTGACAAGGCTTGCTGATATTAATTTAAAAGAGTTACATATGTCGACAAGGTATTAATGATAAATAAATATAAGCTATCCATGGCGATATGTGTATTTTTCTGCATCTCGTTAAACCTCTTTTGATATTCATGTAGCTTTTTTTCTTGTATATATTTAGTTGTTTACCTTTTGTTTTATTGACAGATATTAACGATCGCCGTCCCCTTAACCAGTTACTGTGGGAGCAAATAGAAGTAAGTTTTAGACACCCATTGTTGCAGAAAATGTGTTTGAAGTATCACTATCAGTCATTTTAAGGCAGAAATAAAAACACTGACATTTTATTTTACACACACTCACACACATGTGTGTGTATATATGTATATAAGTACTGTACACACACACACACATATTTATATGTGTCTGTATTATCTACACACACACACACTCACACAGACACATATATGTGTGTGTAAAATATATATATGTATATATGTACATGTAAATGTCATAGTTATTAATATTAAAAATAATGATGATGACTCTGCTTCCAGAAAGACCACCTAGATATAACAACTGCGCTGGTGGCCCTCCACTCATCGAAGAAAAAACACGAAATGGCCGAACGGAAGTGACAGTTTTGGGAAGAAGAAACAGCGAGATAGGAATAAAGTGATAAAAAACATACGGTATGAATGTTTTGAAAATAAAAAACAAAGACTTAAGCGATCAACGATTGCTTAGTTTGCACCAAAGAATCATCAGTCATCAAACTCCTATATGGAATTGACACACGTTATGCGCCGGAAAAATTTCGGTGAACTACCGTGTTTCCTGTTGATAGGAGGAGAATATGATATTATGTGAAGTTAGGACTTTGAACCACAAAGGCCTGGGTTCTAGACGGTCCATCTGACGAGAACCTAGTAAAGACGAAGCTGCTAGAAGTGGATGTCAGGTATTGGCATATATCGTTGCAAATTATGATTTTGGCTTAAATGGAACTGCGAACAAAGAAAGGATATTTGTTTCTGTTTATATTGCACCCCCCCCCCTCCAACACCACCACCCCTCTCACTCAAATGAGAAGTGTGTGTGTGTGTGTGTGTGTGTGTGTGTGTGTGTGTGTGTGTGTGTGTGTGTGTGTGTGTGTGTGTGTGTGTGTGTGTGTGTGTGTGTGTGTGTGTGTGAGTGGCTCTTATGCCAGGTGTCGCCCATGCACACTGATAGACGCCATCAACAGCATTTCCTTCAACGCCGGAAAGAACAAAGAGAAGGTCCTTCCTCCGCGAATAAACAAGTAATACTCAACCATAACCCGAGGGTCAGTGTCACCCTTGGCACGAATTTTCAGGACTTAATCGAGTGCGATCTGAGACGTTACCTTAAGAGATATGGATAACAATAAACAGACAATAAAAGAGATGGATACGTAAAATAATAGATAATTCAACGACAGGTATAATGATGAGATAAATGAATAATAAGTATATAGCAAACAAGTATCTTTTTAGACATGAAACACGTTCTTATCGTCCTATTTTCAGATAACAAATATCCTGTGGCGGTTTTCGATAATCGTGAATTACAGAAACACCTGTTAAATATACAGTATAACATAGAATATAATATCTACATACAGTATACAGTATCAAAGGATATAATATATATGTATAATGTATATATACACATATGTTATAATATATATATATATGTATATATATATATATATATATATATATATATATATATATATATATATATATATATATATATATATATTGTAGTGTCATAAGATATAGATCCCTATTTTCTGTCATATTGTTTTTACAGTTTGAATCATGTGAATGTTGTTTTTTTTTCTGTACAGTTGATTATGAGATCTTAATGTACATTATTAGTGTTAAGATGATAAGAGTAGCATTTTAGTCATAGCAGTGTCAATAATGGATCTTAAAATGTCTGTATTTATGTCAATAAAATAAAGACTTGTTTAAAACGATGACTTTTGTTGTCTTCCAAATGACGTGATAATAATCAAATAAAAGCCAGAAGGGTATGTATTTATTAATCTGTACATACATATACAATATGTAATATACACACGCACACACACACGTGCGTATATGTATACATGATATGTATACACAACGTGTACTCTTGAACGCCCTCGCGCCCTCTGTGTGTGTGTGTGTGTGTGTGTGTGTGTGTGTGTGTGTGTGTGTGTGTGTGTGCACCCGTATGTGTTTGTTTGTGTGTGTGTGCGCACACATGTTTCTCTATTTCTGTGTATGTGTATACACGTGAATATGTTTTTTTTCTCGTTCACGTGCATCCGTCTACGTATGTATGCGTGCCCATTGTGTGTACGTGCGTGTGCGTGCGCATTCCACAATCCGCATCTTGCAAGGAGGACGTAGGAAGCGCCAAGGAAGTTCTCGAGACGCGATAACATATCGTCCACAATCGCTTTTCTTCGCCGCCGATGATTAATATCTCGACGGAAGAGAGCTCGGGATTCGGAAACCTCCGGCAGTTTTCCATTCTTCACTAACCTGCTTACTTACTGTCTGCTGGCTGGTGTGTGTTTTCTCCTGCTGATCAAACTTAGGGGAATATACATATCTATTTTTTCTTTCTTTCTTTATTTATTTCCTTTCCTTTCCGTATGTAAATCAAATAGCAGATCTGTTTAGCGCGTTGGGATTCTTCCATTTGGTGCCATGGAAGATTGTAATAAAGGTAAGTAAATTTTTGATGACTGTTTTAATGGCTAATTTTCGTGATAACTTTCATGAATTATTTTCGTTTGTTTTAGTTAGGCTTAAGGGTTGTAATTTGTCGTAAAAGTTAAACTAACTATGATTTTTCCGCTGCTATTGCCATTATATTATTAATAATAGTAGAAGCAGTGTTATTATTCACCATTATTATCATTGTTATTATTATCATGACTGTAATAATTATCATTATCATTACTGTCGTTATGATGAGCTTTACTGTTTTATTATCGTCATAAATACTATTTACATTTTCCCTTTTACTGCTATCATTATAGTAATTTCTGTTGTAGTTATAATAATGATATTACTAATACCCCCTACTCGATGTTTGCTGTCAACTGTATCCATTCCGAATCATCCACCCAGGTCATTACTCAGCCTTCCGAATACACCCCCTTCTCTCTCTCTGCATCCTCTTCTTCATTGTCTATCCCTCACCCTTATTACTACTTTCCATCCTTATTGTCCTCCTCCCCACAGTACTACTTCTGTTCGCACCTCCCGCCTTCCTCCCTCCTCGTTTTTTACTGCTTCCACCTCAGCAAACTTTTTGAGTACCCAAAACGGGATCAATGCTTTGTGATGGGGGAATCACAGCCCTGACAATACCTTTCGCTTCCAACAATGTCTCCAAAAGAAGTAGGTAAAAGTTTTCTTTTCGCAGTTGTACTGATCGTTCGCGCCTTGTCACAGTGCAGGTTTATATAAGTACTTGTAATAGACCTTAGTCACAGTTACATTTGAATCCCAAGCTCGTGCACTATCTACTCTGACTGACCTCACAGGTAAACCTATTCCTGCCCAACCTACTCTTCCTTTAATACTTGTACTGGAACTGTTTCCGTCTCCTCGACTGATTGTCAAGTCTGCGACAAGGACTGGTCAGACTGTGAAAACAACCTGCTCGTACAGTGCTACACTATTCCTCCCAGAAGCCAGCGTAAGTCCTACACCAATATTGCTAAGATTAGTTTCCGTAGACATGACCTCCCCCGTGAAGTTTATATTGGAGGAGTATCATGTCCTGTCCGACCATATCGACCCCTCTCCCGTCAGAAATGCTGGCGTTTTGACCACCCAGCCAAACACTGTAGCCCGTTCAAGTTGCTATGGTCAGTCACGCACGTGTGCCAACTGTGGTGGCTCCCATAATGCATTTTATACATTACAAGCTCGAACCTGAGGTAGCAGTTCTCAAATTCAAACTAGGCCTCACTCTACATCAGGCCAGACGAGGTTTTTCTCTTTCTACTTAAAAACTTCCACTCCCCTCCTATCTCCCCAAGATGCCTCCGCTTCTCCCACAATATCTCTTCCCTCTACTCTGAACCATCCTATCTCTACTCCCTTTCTCCCCCCAGTCAGATCCCTTTTCGTCTAAATCCAGATGCCCCAGTCTCTACTACTTCCCCGATACCTACCCTTCCTTCTCACTCTACTTGCCGTACCAGGCAATCTAAACGTTCCACGCCATCTTCTCCTACCACCTCCTCTCCTTCACCCACCTCTACGTCTGCCCCTCGGACATCTATTTCCTCTTTTCTTCATAAGAAAACCTTTGTTTCTCATACCTCCCTACTTAACTCACCTCCAGAAGACAAACTTTCAAAAACTTCCGCAGTTTTGATCATCATCGCGGCCACGTCTTTTGTCCTGATGCTCGGCTGCAGCTTCGTTGTTTTCTGGCTCTTTCGGAGGTATTCGGCTGCAAAAGAGGTGGGTTGTGGGGGAATCTGTGTGTGGGGAAGGGCGAGTGTGGGGTGTGTGGGGGGGGGTGGCGAATGTGTGGGTGGAAGGTGGGGACATTTGGGTTTTTGTTTGTCTTCGTGTATGTGTGTATGCAACAGAGTTTGTGTTGATTTATTTGTTCATTCATTATGGTCATTATTTCAATGATAATAATAGCAGCAGTAAGTAGGGGTATAGATATAAATACCATCACCATTATAATGAGTCTGTAGTAGTAATAGTTGTATCAACGTCCATAAATAAAACTAGTATCATCACCTTCTTTTCATCCTCATCTCCCTCGCCCCTCTTCTCCCCATCATCATCTCCCTTCAGTCTTAATATTTTCCCGTTTCCATTATTCTCACCCTTCGCCCTTATTTGTTTCCCTCCCTTCACCTTTATTTCTCATCCTTTCCTTCATCCTTATTAATCATCTGACTTTCCTTCACACTTATTATTTAGCTTCATTTCTTTTACACTATTTTACAGTTTTTTTCACTACGGTTGTGTTGAAATATAGTAAAATAGTGGTATTTAAAAAATATTTTTTTGACAAACAAAAGACAGCTATGCTAGTTTATTTAAAGAATTTGCATTAAGTTTACTTCAAGCTATGTAAATGTCGCTAAAATATATCACGAGTAAAAAATATTCTGAGGGGCCCCATAATTTCATTAGCCTAGGGGCCCCAAAAGGTCATAATCCGGCCCTGTTCTTCACCCTTGTCATTACTCTCCCTTTCCTTCGCCCTTGTTATCTATCTTCCTTCCCCCCTTTCCTTCACCCTTGATATTTATCTTCCTCCCCCCCTTCCCACCCCCCAGTGCCTCCTTCTCCTGCGTCGCCTGGACCTCAACGAACCCCGGAAGCGCCGCCTCTCGCTCCGCCCCCCGTCCTGCATCGCCCCGCCTCTTCCGCCAAAGCGAACTACCCCCAACCGCAGCGGAATGGCCTACAGACCTCCCGACGCGCCTCCTGCAAGTGACGGCGAGTCATCTCCGGAGTCTTTCTCGTATATATCCCCCGACGTCCTAAGGGCTTCCGTCATCCAGGAGGAGGAGGAGGAGGAGGAGGAGGAGTCGAGTTCGTAGAGTGATGAGAAGAGAGTTGGATTTTTTTTTTTTTTTTGCTCCTGAGGGTTCAAAATGGGAGTGGATTTGTATTTCTTTTGAGGGTTCATGGTTCATGAGGCTTACAAGTTGCTGGAGGATTTTAAGGTTTCAAGATACAACAGGTTTATTCATATTTCAGGATGCTAGAAGTTTCTTAATATTTCAGGATGCTAGAAGTTTCTTAATATTTCAGGATGCTAGAAGTTTCTTAATATTTCAGGATGCTAGAAGTTTCTTAATATTTCAATTTGCAAGAAGTTTCTCAGTATTTCAAGTTGCAAGAAGTTTCTCAATATTTCAATTTGCAAGAAGTTTCTCAATATTTCAATTTGCAAGAAGTTTCTCAATAGTTCAAGTTGCAAGAAGTTTCTCAATATTTCAAGTTGCAAGAAGTTTCTCAATAGTTCAAGACGCAAGAAGTTTCTTAAGTATTTCAATTTGCAAGAAGTTTCTCAATATTTCAATTTGCAAGAAGTTTCTCAATATTTCAATTTGCAAGAAGTTTCTCAATATTTCAAGATGCAAAAAGTTTCTCAATATTTCAAGATGCAAAAAGTTTCTCAATATTTCAAGATGCAAAAAGTTTCTCAATATTTCAAGATGCAAAAAGTTTCTCAATAGTTCAATTTGCAAGAAGTTTCTCAATATTTCAATTTGCAAGAAGTTTCTCAATATTTCAATTTGCAAGAAGTTTCTCAATATTTCAATTTGCAAGAAGTTTCTCGATATTTCAAGATGCAAAAAGTTTCTCAATATTTCAAGATGCAAGAAGTTTCTCAATATTTCAATTTGTAAGAAGTTTCTCAATATTTCAAGACGCAAGAAGTTTCTTACGTATTTCAATTTGCAAGAAGTTTCTCAATATTTCAATTTGCAAGAAGTTTCTCAATATTTCAATTTGCAAGAAGTTTCTCAATATTTCAATTTGCAAGAAGTTTCTCAATATTTCAAGATGCAAGAAGTTTCTTTAAAAAATCAAGATGCAAGAGGTTTTTTAAGGATTCAAGATGCAAGTGTTTTTTTTTAGGTCTCAATATTAAAAAAAAAAGCTCCATTCTTCGAAAAAAAAAATCAAGGAAGTTATGCGAGGAATGCATCTAAAATTTTAAAAAAAGGTTCAATAGAACAGCGTTGGATATAACGCAATATATAACTTTAATGTAAATAATTTGCTAGTTTTTAATTTCCTGAAATACGATTTGATGTTGATATAATTGCTTTATAACCAATTTATTTTTAACTATTAGTTTAATATTATTTTGGTACATGATATGAATACGCAAATACTACAAACTTCTATTTCCATTGCTTGTATTACTGTGATTTTATATACATATAGATGCAGTGCGAATGAAACTGAAAGTGAATACAAACTGACTTGTATTATATATAGTTCAAGGCTAAACGTATTTTCATGCAACACGTCAGTGCAATTTCAAATTTACATAGCTTGATAATTCTTAAAGGCTCTTAGCTAAAAAAAAATGTTAATATAATCAACTTATCGGTTATAACTGTATGTAAATAATTATTCTGAAAATAAAAAGTGACAGTTTTACTACTTTCTATTTATTTCACCTAAGAGGTGATTTAAAACACAGAACTAAAACAATTATTTATAATCATTTACAAAATATACTAGATCTTACAAAGACGATACATATTTTAACGAAGGTTATGTCAAATATTTTCTTGTTGCACCAATCAACTTTATTTGCATCTCTGTTTTTTATTCTGGTCGGCTGTATCTTTGTGGTAAATTAAATTGTGATAAACGAAAAATATATTATTTATCAAACTTTTTTTTACAAGCATGACTCTAGTGAATAGATATTAAAATTACCAATCTGTAGTTTGTCTATCTAATTTGCCGAAAATTAAAGAACACTTATTTTTTGAGCTGTGTTATAACAATCTATTATAAAAAAAAAACACAAATCTTGGTTGTGCAAGGAACATTTTTCATAAGGTATTCTCAAGTACCATTACTGGTAACTAGCAATTAAGGTCAAACAATGTGTTT